GAAAAGTCAGCAGAAGTAACAAGGCCTATATTATGTCAGTCCCATACTCAGCTTTAACGTTTAACTACTCATAATGGTTCCCAAGGAGCAGACCCTGGTGTTCTTTCACTTTTGCTAAGCAAAAGCACAAACACCCCTTCATTTTCTACAGAGGAAAATATTTGTTTTTTGGAATTCTGAGTCTGGAGCAGACAAATGTGGCATTCATATATAAACTGAGGCCAAGGATGAATTGATTTTATTTCAGGCAAAATCCCTAAAATTTGGAATTTGGTTAAGATCTTCACACCAAGTAGTTCCAAAATCTTCAAAAGCAACTGGGCCTAGCTATTTATTAAGTGTCTTCTTTCTAAATCAGAAAGAAGTACTGATTGCAAGGGAGTTGGGGGGACCTGGCCTGCTTCCATAAATCTCAGATTCAGAACTCTAACAAGAAAGGGTCTAGGCCTAGGGCTTCTCTTGCGAGGGAAGTTTTCTCAGTACTGAGTGTGGTTTTTCAGCTGCTCGGTCCAGCTGGAGTGTGGGCAATTAAGCTAAGACATAGCTTCTCATTGGACAATACGACCTGTCAAAGTTGAGATCTGATTATCTCTGGAACTCTTACTGTATCCTCCAGGAGGTTCACCATTGAATCTGTTGGGTGGGGATTAAGTAGGAAGGGGCCAGGGAACCCTCTTTGTGAAGCTCGCTATGATTTCATTCGACTCTTCTTTTTGCCTCTTGAAGACGGTAGACAATTAACTTTCCATCATTGATCAGCAGATTTTCTTTGCTCAATGCTTTGTCTCCTCCCCAGACCTCCCAGAATCAGGCATGCAAAAATCAAATGAATCACTGCTCTTGCTCTGCTTAGAAAATTGAGCTGACAAGAATAGTTAGTGCCTATAAGCTTCATGGGGGTGGGGGTGGTGTAAGGTCACAATGATTATTCTGAAGCTCTTTCAGTATGCCATTTACCCAGGTTCTTATGCTCTCCCGCTGCAAGGTTAGTTGAAAGCTGGTCAAACAGCAGAACCCAAATGGCAAAAAGTAGCCCTTTGTGTGTGTGTGTGTGTGTGTGTGTGTGTGTATGTGTGTGTGTGCATTGTGGGCCATAGCAACTGGCAAGACTGCCTTTTAGGTTTTGGATAGATTCTTGAAGTTTATATGTTCTTGGTTTTTTGAACAGAGTCAGACTTCCTTTAAACAAAACCAAACCAACCACAAACCATGATCTGAATTGACTGGTGAGGGGCAAGATGCACTTACTTTCCATTCTCCTTGAGCCTTTGATGATGCTATTCTTTCAATTAATCACTTCCTGTAATGAATGTTCTATGCAAATAAAATGAGAGTTCTTAGAATGCAGCATGAGCTGGGCACAGATCCTGTCTATCACTGTTGACAGACACATGGAGGATATCAAGGTGCACTTGTGAGTTACCTCGGCTAGATCTGAGTGAACAAATGGCTGTCTTGTTTGTCGGTCAAGCTTGGTTCATTCAAAGCAACCCAGTCCTGGTCTTTTCTAGGTAATGGGGGGGGGGTCTATATGTTTATTGAAACTCATCACCCTGATCTCCGTGTAGACAATCAAACTGAAAAAGGCATTAAGTTTCTGGACGGAGTCACAGTCATATTTTGCACCACAAAAGCCATCCAATCAACCCCATGTGGAAATAAGTATACCCCACAAACCTCTCACGAGTGCAGGGGAAAGCTAAACTGTGGTTGAGGAGGCATCAGAGTCTTTCTGTATTTGTACACAGAGCCATCAGAGCCTCCCCAGGAAAGTGAATAATGAGCAATGGCACCCTATGCCCCCCAGGTTTGGCAGCCTCCAATCTGCTCTCACATTGCACTCCTTAGTGACAGAAGCCAGTGATGGAGCAGCTGGGTCATTGAATTGAAAAACTGGCACATATGCCCTGGCATCTAAAAATTTCTTCTTAGTTAGTGCACACCACTGGGGGAAAGTAAGAAGAAAGTTGGGAGTCAGTCACAACAAGCTTATAAGTATGAAAACATAAAAATGTCTGAAGATGATTAAGTGCCAGATGATTTTAGCTCTAGATGAAATAGCCTCTCTCCTGCTGTCCAGAGTATGAGTTAATGTGAAAGAAATGTAGGCTCTGTTGTTATTCCCAAAGTTCTGTTTAAAGACCCTTTCTCTTCCTCCTTCTCTACTCAAATTTAGTAAGTAAACCCTGCTTGTTGAGCCCAGGACTTAGATACTGGGGTTATCAGTGGTTTCATAGTCTTTTGAAAATTGTGCAATATTCTCCGAGCCAGTGGGTTAGTGGTCTTCAGCAGTTCAGCTGCTGAGGGACGAGACCTTGGAGTTGCCTTACTTCCCTTCTTCTGTAGCAAGGCCTTGAAATCATCGTTTCTGCCAGCATCTAGGTTGGCACTGCTGCCTGACCCTGCGGTGGTGGTAGACTCACTGATTGGAAACTCAGCTGTGTTCTTTATTGGTGAGTGGGAGCTCGGTCTGCCGCCCACAGAGGCCTCACCAGGTTCCTTCCAGCCGAGCAGCTTCCTTTTGGACCTAGATAAGAGGAAGTCTGGTTTGAGTGAGTTCATGCAGCAGACATTTATGCTTCACAGACCCCCATGTCTGTGACACACTCCAGGCGGCAGCCCTGCAAGCAGTCATATTGACTTGCTTTTTCTCTCTCTCACCTCTAAATCCTCAGAGCCCCTTGTTGGACCCTCCTGTCCCCACATTCCTTTCAATGTCCCCAGCTGGAGTCACTTGTCCTGTGCCTGTAGGCTCAGTTCTGCCCAGGTTCTGGGACCAAGGACAAATTTCAGGAGTCAAGGCTAGTAGCTCAGCGACTCTGATCAGAACAGCCTGGGGACTGATCCTGTTCTGAACTGGTGCTGTAGCTCCAATAATAAAGTCTTGCCAGTTTTCTTGTCACTGAACCCTGCCTTGTAACCCTGTCCAATAACTGGTCCCCATCTAATTCCTCCTTGCCTAAGTTCCTGTTTTGATATGCTGCCTGGTGCCCCACGTCACCTCTTGATGGGAGTTTTTGGTCCAAGGAATTCTGTTAAGGGTTAAATGTCTTTGACTATAGACAGAGCTAAGAGAGAGCAGATGGAGCCACAATAGGCCAAGTGGTTGCTAGGAGACAAGGGGCCTCTCACTCAGCACCTGGTCCTCCTCTTCTCTCCCTTCCTCCACTTTACCCAATGATGTCAGTGAATTTAAGCTGTGAGGCCCTGGACTGTGCTCACATATATGGGTATCTGAACTTAGCCTCCAGATGCAATTCTAATGGCTGCTTAGAGGTAGCAGTTTTCCTAATTTTTAATTTTTTTCTTTTTCTTTTACAGTTAGGATTTCAAAATGGAATAGCAGTTTTTCTTTAAGTACAAAAAGGGAAGGCAATTGCAATTAGAATTAAGGAAATTGGTGCAGACCTGTGTATCACAGTAAATAAATCTTCAGTTGTGCGTGAAGCCACAAACACGTCATCATCATCCTCCGCAATCCATTCAGCTGTTTTATCACTGATTAAACTTTTTTCTTCGGTGCCTTGTTCCACAGAGCTCCCTAGATATAAACACCAACAGGAATGACTTTGACCACAATAGATAGGACAAAGCACATTCTCATATGTTATTTCGTTTGATGTTCAAAGCAACTCTGTGAGAGCAGCAGGGTGGAGAGAGATTTTTAATATCTCCATTTTGCAGAGGAGGAACATGAAGTTCAGAAGCTTAATGATTTGCCCAAGGTGGAGTGAGTGGTGAAGTTCAGCATGGATCCCTGTTCTCTCATGCCTTTGTCATTACAACAGGTGGCCCGAGCATTCTCTTGTTTGAAACACTGTATATCCTTTCTCTAAATGAAGGAGCTGGGAGTTATCTAAAGTAGTGACTCTCACCGGGTGGGTGAGAGTGGGACCTATTTGAATCTCAGAGGGGAGCCTGTGGAGTCTGAGGAAGCGTTTTCTACAACTACTTATGGCTTTGATTTATTTGCTTGGCTTAGTCATGATTGACTCATATTGAAAGTCCAAACCTGCAAACAGAAGGCCATGACATTTTGACTTTTGGTATTAAGGGCTCAGAAAAGGATGAGAAACATGGATGAACCTTGATAACATTAAGCTAAGTGGAATAAGCCAGTCACAAAAAGACAAATACGGTATGATTCCACTTATATGAGGTGTCTAGAGTAAAATTCATAGAGCCAGGAAGTAGAATGGTGGTTGCAAGGGAGGAATCTGCGGGGAGAGGGAAAGAGGAGTTGTTGTTTACTGGGTGCAGAGTTTCAGTTTTGCAAGATGAAAGGAGTTCCGGAGATTGGTTGCTCAACAATGTGAGTGTGTTTAACAGGAATGAACTGCACGCTTAAACATGGTCAAGATGGTAAATGTTATGGGTACCACAATGAAAAGAAAAAGAGACAGAAAAAGAAAGGATGAGAAATGTTACGCATTATGTTTCATGGTTCCAGGAAGAGCCAAAGAACTCAAACCATCCAAGAAAGTGAGCTCCCTTTCCCCTGGAAGGCACAAACAGAGGCTGCTGGTGGCAACATATTTCATTGTTTCAGATGCCTCCAAGCCTTGCCATGGCACTTGAACTCAGTCTGGGGGGGCTATTGAGTCCCACGTAGGAAACTAAGTTCAGTGCAGCCAATGAAAAATATTGTACAGTGAGGTGGAGAAGTAGTTCCCATGACAGGATGCATGCTTGACTAGGGAGGTGGGATGCTGAAGTCCTAGGGTACTAGAACCTAGCTTGATTTCATTATCTTAGCAGTAGGGTTTAGAGGGGAGAGTAGCCTAAACTGGGTCTTGGAGATCTGCCTCGGGCCAGTCTTGATCTCAAGGGCAGCAAGGCCTGCACGTGGCTCCTATTTAGAGTAACCCAAACCCTCAAGAGGTGCCCACTACTGACTTGGGATCAGGATAATTATTCTGGGGCATCTGCTTCCATCTCTGGCACTCCATTCTCACCCTCATCTCTCCTGTGATTGAAGGAAAAAGCCAGCAGACAGTTTACTAACCCAGAAGGCTTGCCTCCCTTTCACTCTCAGCCTGCGGAGTTGAAGTCACTTTTTGACCAGGTGATTGCAGGTCATCACCAGCTGGGGGGCACTTGACATCTTCCTCCAGCGTGATGATGGGGCTGAGAGAGAGCCTTGGTTCTGACACACAGGCCTCCATTTGAGCTGTGGGAGAGGTGAGAGGCAGGTACAGCACGCTGGGTTTTTTTGGTACAGGAGGTGGAATCTTGCCTTTCTTTTTCTCAGCTTCTTCCTGGCTCTGGAGGCTAATTCTTTCAGGCAAGGCCCTCACCTTGGGGCCCTCATCCTCCACACTTCCCTGGGGAAGCTGCTGTGTTCCTGAGAAGAAAGCACCAGAAGAACTGGCAAAAGGTGTGAAAACAAGAGATGTGGGTGCTGTTGACTCCCCTGGGCTTCTTCCATCTGGGAAGCTGGAGGACTTTGGTTTCCGCACCACTGTGTAGCTGTCTTGAGGGAGTTGTCTCACATGTTGAATTGAGCTCCTGGGGGGCATAGCCAAGGTTGGTGAAGTTAGTGGGTACTCCTCGGGGACAGATGGTGGCTTGTGGACCAAGCTTGGAGGCCTTCGGGCCACTGGAGGCTTCTCAGCTACAGGAGGTTTCATCTTTCTCTCTGGCAAGGTGAAGACTTCTGCTCTGGTTTCTTCAGCACAGTCAGGGCTCTCAATGTCATCTTCCGGCTCAGACTTGCTGACCGACCTCAGGCGAACAGAACGTAGGTCGTACTGAGTAACCATGGGCATGATTGGCTGGTTGGGACTAGTTTTCTGGGCCAGCTTGGCACCAAAATTTGTCTCTGAGTGATGCCGACTCACCTTGGTTTTGCTTCGGACGGAGATGCTCATCCCAGACAGATCCAGGTTGGGTGAAGAGGTCAGTGGTAGGTCAAATGATAGCCGTGACTTGGAAAATCTCTCCATTGGTGACGTTGGGGGTAGTGATGATTTCCTCTCAGGTACCACTGGACGTACTCGGACACTGCTGCTTGGATGGGGTAAGTGGCCCATGGTCAAGGACATGGAAACAGTGGGAGTTGGTGTCTCTGACTGGCTGGAATAGCCACTGGAGGGTGACATCAGTCCCGGGGGCCTTCCTGGGGAGGATATCTCCCTAGCTTCCACTTCGATGGAGAGTTGGGAAGGTGTAGTGGCTCTGGAGGTGGAAGGCGAGGCAAGAGACTCTGAGCTGCCCTGACCTTGGGTGCACTCAATGACTGTGGTGCCGGTGGCAGTGCTGGAGCTGGACAGGGATTGGTAGGTGTCACCAGACTTCCAGTCAGTAAGATACCAGTGGTGGGAGAATTGTGTACCTTCTGGATCTTTCAGGTTTGGCACAGCTGGGTGACCCTGAACATCTGGGTGGGACGAGTGATGTCCTTGGTGTTCCAAGGAGAGGCAAAGACTCTTGGGCCTCTGGTCCTTGGATAGTGCTTCAGGCAAGAGGCCTGGCTCATCTTTGACTAGTGAGACACTGCGTGTTGGTGGGGAAGGCTTCTTTTTGGCCTTTCTGAGTGAGATACTCTTGGACCTCTGCCTTCTGTGCTGGGCCTCTTGTTGGGCAGTAAGGGAGGCGATGTTGTCAGCACTGTTACTGCCCTCAGAGCTCGTACTGGCAAAAGGCAAGGCACAGGCCTCACTGGCCTTCTGCTCCTCATCATAGTCAACATCTGTGGTGCCTGAGTCTGTGGGCACAGACAGTGACCGCTCCCGGAATCTGCTGGCTCCACCGGGGCCTGTCTCCAGCCTCGAGGTCCCACTGGTCAGAAGGCCAATCTTGGAGGGTCTTTCTGGCATGTGCCTTCGCTGAATAAGGCGCTCAGGGTAGCCAGCTGACCCACTGCATCCTGCTGGGTTATCATGAGTGACAAGGACAGTAGCAGCCTCCTTAGGAACCAGAGGTGGGACTGTGTTCACAGAGACCCAAGAATTCCACAGGAAGGATTTTTCCCACTTTCATTGACTTGATTGCTCTTGCTGGTGGCACTTGGAGTCATGTAGGTAAAAGCATCTGCCTTCCAGGAAGTGGAGAAGGTTGATTCTGTAGGTCCATTGCAAGAACTGGGGACACTGTACACCATTCCCATACTCTCCATGCCAGGAGGGTTTGGGCCACTTTGTGCCTGGTGAGGTTCGTCTGGCTCACTGGAAGGAGTTCTCAGTACTGGCGCGGTAAGACTTGGGAACCGAGCGTCCTGACCAACTGCAACTCTTCCATGAACCCCTTCTGGAACTGAGTGACTGGGCCTGATGTCGGAGGTGATCGAGTGGGCCGCACTGCCTGCTGGGCTGATGCTGTGACCTGGAGGAAATAAACACAGAACATGAGCACTGCAGCAAGGGATCTCCCACCAGCTGTTTTGAGACAGGAGCACCATCTTTTTGCCAGGAAGCATTTTTGCCAACAGTTTGGTTAGAATTCCTTGGTTCTTCTCTCCGATAGATGAGGATGCTGTGGAAGTTGGGTCCTTGCCTGTCACCCCACAGTGAATCACAGGGTGCCCTTGAATGGTCCATATGGCTGTCAAATACTTTCCATCTTTGATTATTCCCCTTAGAGCTGAAGTGTCATGTGGGACTACCTTGCATTTTTCCCATACTTTCACCCCAGGCTCATAAAACTATCACAGACCTCAGTGTTCATCCATTCAGAGATGAGAGTAGAGGGTTTCGAACTAAGGACAGCATGCTGTGACTTTTGGCTCCAGCAGTAACTCTGGAGTATGACCAAGCTGCAGAGCTTAGAGTCTGGCTGCATTGTTCGTGCCTGTCACTTCTAGGCTTTGCAATATAAGGCTGAGGATAACCTACAGATGTGAGGAAACCATTGGATGTTCCAAATCCCCAAAGGTTTTCTCATACACACAAACAATTAATACTGTCATGTCATTAGTAGTAGTAGTAGTAGTATTTTGACTACTACTGCTATGAGAATTTGTAGTAACAGCCACCATTTGTTGGACACTGACTATGTACCAGGCACATGGTAGGCAAGTTACATACAATAACACTAATCTTCATGCTAATTCCACTGGGTTGGTATTATTATCCCCAGTTTATAGATGAAGAAGCTGAGGCTCAGAGAAGTTATGTACCTTGGCTAAGGTCTTCCGGTTAGTAAGTGGAGAAGCCAGGCTCTTATCCTCTGCTATCTCCCTGGGCTGTGCTCTTTGGCCAGCATTCACTTAATGGTAGTAATGGTTCTGTTAAGATGATGGTGAGGATCCCTCTCCCCTCATCTATTTGCCTAAGTTTGGCATATCTGGTTATATTACATTTATAATGGGAAACAATGTAATGGATTCATTAGCCCAGGAGACCTACTCTCCGTATTCAGTGCCGCCCTTGATGAGAGGCCCTTAGCTATTCTTAATTCCCATACTGGCTTTTTCAGGACATCGGAAGGCCCCCCTCCCAATTATTCCTGTTCCCCATCACCACAGTATGACCTGAGTGGCAGGATTGGTAGGAGTGGGTAAGGGAAATGGACTGGGGAGTCAGCTGTGGTGGGGTCACCTTGGTCTCGCTGGGAAAAGTTAGAGAATCCAATAATGGTCCGCCTCCGCCTCAGGGTGGACTTGGGGTTCACGGCTGTCTCTGTGTTAAACAATGAGTGTCGCAAACTTGCATGTTTATCGAACTGCTGCCCTGTAGCCAAAATAAAGACACTTGGGTGCATCCTGATTTCTGTTTAAAGCATAGTGGAAACTGGCCCAAGGTAGGAGAAGGAATGATGGCAGTCGTGATGAGCATGAATAGCGTCCAAGACAGGTGGCACTTCTTCCCCATCCTTCCCAATTTGGCCCTGGGCATGCATGCTGGGTTTCCCAGGCATGGAAGTGGCAGTGGTTTTCAACACTGGGGTACATACTGAAATCAACTGGGCAGCTGTTGAAACTGCAATACCTGGCCCCCACCCCAGAACACTGAAATCTCTGAGAGTAGGGCTCACATAGAAACATTTTCTAGAAGTCTTCAAGTGATTGTTCAGAGGTACAGCCAGGGGTGAGAACCACTGGTATAAAGCAGCAGGCTGTGACTAGATGCTGCTTGATTGTGATCTTTTCTCAGAGAAGGCCTTTATATGGGCCAGGCGAGGCCAGTGTCTCCAAGAGGCTGCCCTACTGCCCTCCACCATCCAGGAAGATGCCTGATAGTCTGTCCTACAGTTGCCTCGTCATGTTTTACCAAATCTGGCCCACAGCATGGTGATTGAGCTCTATTTCCTTCTCTCTCTCTCTTTTTCTTTTTTTCTGGCACTGACTTTTCAATTCAGGAAAATTATTCACACAAATTATAGTTATCATTTTCTCTGAGTGACATGGTACTTTCAAAATACCTGTTAATTCAGTTTGTTTACTGACTCGATAATGTTTTCAAATGTAATAAAATTAAAATGGAAGATTTACTTAATAATATGCCTTAATATTATTAAAAAAATTTTAGAGCTCTATTTCTATTAAAGTGCTGGGTCAGTCTTTGGGTTCTGGAAAATGCCTGGGACAGAGTCAGGGCAAGGTAGGGTGATGGGGCAAGGTCTGTGGTTCCCCCTTCCTTTCTCTCATTCAGTAGCTGGCTAGCCAGACCCTCCCACACCAGCCACACAGCCGCATACATTCACAGACATCTCAGCAGGTGGCTCTGTGGGCAAAGCTCAGTGACAGCCTCACTGAGAGGAAGATAGACATTTATTTATTTATTTAGAGACAAAGTCTCACTATCACCCAGGCTGGAGTGCAGTGGTGCTATCTCAGCTCACTGCAACCTGTGACCCCTGGGGTCAATCAAGCCTCCCACCTTAGCCTCCCAAGTAGCTGGGGCCACAGGTGTGCGCCACCACACCTGGCTATTTTTTGTATTTTTGGTAGAGATGGGGTTTCACCATGTTGCCCAGGCTGATCTTGAATTCCTGAGCTCAAAGTATCCACCCACGCTAGCCTCCCAAAGTGCTGGAATTACAGGTGTGAGCCACTGTGCCTGGCCAAGATAGACATTTAGACACAAAATGTTCAACATCACTTCTGGAGTCTTTTCTCATAAGCCCTCACTCCTTTTGGTATATTTCCCTAGGCTGTGGGCTCTATTTCCTGCCTCTGATTTTCTGAAATGATGCCAGTGATAGTGGAGGACCCCATATCCAGGGAGCATTGCCATGTGTGGCCAGAGCTGTCCTCCTCATCTTCATCAACATTTCCCAGCAGAGCACAGGCTGGCACTGGCTCACAGGACCCCTCTGATCCTTTTAGGTTACTGAGATCACAGTTTCATCATGTCACTGGCCCTCTCTCCTCAAATGACTGGCCCTCCTTCTATTCACTTTAAAGCTGATGGAGTGTAGATCATGGATTAATAGTGAACATGGTATACTGTGCCATATGCCCCCAGAGCCACAGCCAGCTGGGCTACCTATAATATATCATGTTACCCACTCTCAAAGTTGTACTGGGTCCCCTTTTGGTCTTTTTGGCCTTAGGACCTTTCTACCACTTATTTTCTTGAAAACTTTGCCAAACAAGTTGAGGAGGCCCACCTTGCTAGAAGACTAGTGTCCAGCAAAAGTGCCACCAGACCTTTGGTCTGTGCCCAGGAGTGATCCTGCCTTGTTTCACCAGCACTCCAAACCCTTCTCCTGCTTCGGCTCCTGTCAGTGTACTGCAAACCCAGCTCTGGGCACAAGAACTTGTCTTTCCCAGACCCAAACAGAACTCACAAACTTTAAGTTTCCATATATGCTCTGATGAGCACACAAATTCATAAGCCTTTGGAGCTTAATGTTAAGAAAATTTGGTTTGCTATCAAATGGTCTCATTAGGGTGGCAGTGCCAGGAAGGGGTGAAGAAAGAGCAGCCAGAGTCCCCTCTTCTGCATGCTTCCATTCCCTGGCAAGAGCCATGACTGTGACAGCGCAAGGTGAGCTGGTAGCAAAGAAAGTCTCACTTCCCTCCCACAGCACCCAGTGCATCGAAGAGGATGGCCTGTAGAGGGATGAAGAGAAGCAGACAGAGGTGGTGCTAAGCAACTCTACCAGAGATGTTGATGGGCACAATGTCAGACTGTGTGGAGCAAGGCTGAGGCCACCGCTTCTCCTCTAGGATGGGCAGAGGGAAGAAGCTATTCCAGGCAGTTTGCTTGTCGGCTGTGGTAGACAGGCTCAGGGAGGCCCCGGGGGCCCTCACACCCTGGGTGGTAGTTTCATCCTCACTCAGCTGCCGTTTTGTAGGCTGTTGGGAGAGAAGGTGATGGAAAGGGTGTACTCCTGCCTGGCGATAAGCCAGTGCCCACAGGATGGCTGTTTGGGCTGGGTAGTTAGAGGCTTCATCTGGGAGGCAGAAAAGCATGGACAGGCCGCCAGGCCAGACACTTGCTGTGCAGGGCCCATCTGGGTGGGGCCTCAGGGTAGCTCTCCTGGTGAGCAGAGGTGAGCAGCTTCCAGTGGGTAATGTAAGCAGCTGGAGGTCTCCTGTCAGTGGGTGCATGCTGGCTCTCCCAGGTGGGGGATGAGGCAACTCACCATCAATACAAACTCCAGACGCCTGGCAGACTGGGGCCTTGGGTTGGGGGTGGGCTCAGGGGCCTCATCAGAAGAGCGAAAGGTCTGCCCCAGAAGTCTGGCCTCCGAGTACTGTTCCTCATATTCTTCTGAAAAATAGCACAGTGGAGACACACTCTAGGGTGCCACGGCCAAGCGCTGGGCTGGGGAAGGGTCACCAGCCAGGGCTCTTGCTCTAGCTGTGAGGCCTGACTCTCATTGTTTCTTTAGGCTATTTCCGGGTGTTTGAGATTTGGAAATGGTAAAGTGCTTGCTTCCCAGGATCATGAGGGTTGAGAAGAGAAAGTCAGTACATTCATGCTGTGGTGGTTTGGGGACCAAGCCCTTAACTCAATAACCCCCACTTAGAGTGCTCAATTACGAAAAGAGGTTCAGGATGCAGACACCTTTTGCTACTTTGGACTGCAAGGTCCTGTCTTTGAAGCCCTGCAGCTCTTCAGGTTTTCTGCGACCCTACCATGGAAATGACCTGTGTAAAGCAAGAAGAGATTTACACCCAGAAGTCCAATCTGGAGTTCTCTCTTGGATGTCAAGAACTCTTACTTGAGCTTTTGTGGGTCAGGTTCCCTGCACCTTAGTCCCGCTGCGAATGGTGTCAGGTCTAAGGAGGACTAAGGTGAAGGAGAGGGAAGGAGGAGGTGACAGCATAAAAGAGGCAGAAGTTCAGTGGCATCATCAGTGAATATGGATACACAAGATTTGAATGGGGTTGACTGAAGTGATGAATTTGATGAATACATGAAGACAGTAAG